ATTTGAGAAAGAGAAGTCTAAGTCCAATTTGAAAAGTGATGTTTGTTTCAATATTTAGGTGAAACACAGGAGAGGTTTAAATCCTTTATCCTAAATTTATTGCTAATTTTATATAGATTTATATATATATATATATTAAAGGGTATTAAAGGGATAGGGGTGGTCTCCCCTTTCGCCAAATGGCAGCCCTTCTGGCCATTGGTTTTTGGGTCAACGGTTTGATCGTCTGGTTCAAACGAACGGATGGCCCATTCTAATAACAAAAATTAAAAAATAAGTAAAAAATGACCAAAAACCATTGAATGGGTCGACGGTTCAACCGCTTGGGTCAATGGGTCGTTGACCGATTCAACGGTTTTTTGCTAGGGACCGGGATTGGGGTAAAATGGAAACGGTTGCCTGGATGGTTCCCAATTAAAAAAATAAAAAAAAATAGCGGTTCGACCATTCGGTTCAACAAACGGCCCGTTCAGACAACGAAAATTACAAGCAAAAAATTAAGTGTGTGAGGTCCATTAAGTAGTATCATACGTGTTATGTCATTCGAGCATGTGACTCATATGACCCGAAAACAGAACCGTTTTGGCCACCGATTTTTGGGTCGACGTTTGACCATTCGGTTCAAACGGACAACCTGTTATGACAACAAAAATTAAAAATAAAAAATAAAAAATGGCCAAAAACCATTGAACGGGTCGACGGTTTGACCACTCAGGTCAATGGGTCATTGACCGATTCAATGGTTTTTGGCTAGGGACCGGGGTTGGGATAAAATGGAACCGGTTGCCTGGATGGTTCCCAATTAAAAAATAAAAAAATGATAAAAAACTATTGAACGGGTCAACGGGTCGACAATTCGACCACCCGGGTCAATGGGTCGTTGATCGATTCAATGGTTTTTGGCCAGGGACCGGGATTGGGATAAAATGCAACCATTGCCTGGATGGTTCCCAATTAAAAAAAAATGGTAAAAGACCATTGAACGGGTTAACGGGTCGATAGTTCGACCACCCGGGTCAATGGGTCGTTGATCGATTCGATGTTTTTTGGCTAGGGATTGGGATTGGGGTAAAACGGAACTGGTTGCCTGGACGGTTCCCGGGCTGAAATGTTCGTCCATCCAGGTCAACGGTAGTTTGAAAACCACGGTTTTTTGTGCTTTTGGATTTTCACTATTCAAAGGTTTCTTCTATTGTTAGCTTTATTCGAGCATGTGCAGTATGTTTCTTTTTTTTCATTTTCTGCGTTTTTTTTTATGTGTGTCTGGTTTTCTTCTTCAAGATCCTCCAAAACGGTCTAGGTTTACTACCATTTTATTTCTTCACTTTTGTTTTTTCTTTGGGTTTTCTTGTGCAATGTTTTTTTTTATTTTCTTACAAGACGATTTGCTTTGTCTCTTTCTTTGATTGCATGTATGTTTAGCTCCATTTCAAAGTGGAACTTTGAATTCAATTTATTGCCAATTTTTTTGTGTTTAAGGTCACTTTGGATTTATCTGTCAAGGTTTTGGAATCCCTTGCAATGTCCACCCTTCCCATGACTATGACTACAAAGTTATTTCGTCTAATTATTGACATCTAGAAAAAACGACCCGAAAACGGAACTGTTCTGGCCACTAGTTTCTAGGTTTTCCGGTTCGAACGGATGGCTCATTCTGACAACAAAAATTAAAAAATAAAAAAATGACCAAAAATCGTTTAACGGGTCAACCGCCCGGGTCAATGAGTCATTGATTGATTCAATGATTTTTTTATAGGGACCGGGTTTGGGGTAAAACTGAACCGGTTGCCTGGACGGTTCTCGAGTCGAACGGTCCTACTGTTCGGATCAACTGGAAGTTCTTGATGTGGAACAAAGGACAGCTATGAAGTAGAACTCAAAACTATCACTATATGATCATATTAATTCTTTTATATAAGATGCTTTGCTGAAACATTATTTAAAAAACGAAAACATGATGATCTCTTTTAAGTCTTTATATGAGTTTCAAGACTTAGATACTTATAATTGCAAATTTCTTATTAAAAAATCATTATCTTTTTAATTTAACAAATAGCAATGTTATAATTCCAACCCCTGCAAAAAGACTCTGCTAGTTCCACTTGAATCGACTTTGAATGAGATGTCCACAAATTGACAGATTGCTACACACAATGAGCCAATATGTATCTATTTTGAGGCTTGCTGATACGTTAAGTTATTTACCTGTTGCTTGTACCGACAAACTTTCCTGATTAGTAAATACATACTTTATAATTGATTATTAAAATTATATATTTTTAAATATTAACAAAAATTAAAATTATACTGACTTATTGAGAATTAAGGTACATACACACTTATCACTTGTGTCCTAATATCTCACACTTTATAAAACATTAAAGCGTATTTTTTATGTGTAAATTAATTATTTATAGTCACCTAAAACTTCCATTTATTGGTATTAATGTTTAGGAATTATTTAAGTTTCCTAACATATTTATATGTCTTAATTTGTCCATCGCAATGTGTCTCTAAAATTGCCTTTCAGATACTCTGTGTTTCTTATATATCTGTACTAAATGTAACACCAGCTCGTGCACACACACAATGCAAGAAAAACATGATGCCAGAAATTATAACCAATCAACCAGGATCATAAAAAAATTATAACCAATCAGCCAGGATCATAAAAAGTAATAACCAATCAAGTGGATTTTCATTGGGTTATCAACCCTGTAAAACTTTTGTTTATGGAGCTAAATTCTTGTATTGCTGATCCTATGCTGCAAACTGATGAAAGGGTGGTTCCTTTTAAGAATAGCTCGTTACCTGAGTTGAGTTCTTTTGATGTCATTATGAAGTGTGATGGTGGGGTCATTGTAAAACTGTTACCTCTTTTGGTTTATGTGTATACGACAGTAAGCCCTTTTTTTGGCAGGAGGGGGAAAGCAAAACTTATGCGGAAGTCTGGGCTATTTCTAAAGCTTTAGAAGTGGCTCATCAAGAAGAATGGAAAAAAAAGTTCTGATTTTGTCTGATGCAAATATCGTTATAGACTTTCTATCTTTGGAAAGCCCACATCTCCTTGGACTGTCCATCCATTTTCGGATACTATCTTGCCTTTGAATCTTCTTTTGATATTGTAGATTTGTGTTATATTCCTCGGTCTGTTAATAGGAAGGCCCATCAGCTAGGACAGATAGCAAAGAATTGCAACATGGACGTGTTGAAACGGGCATGCTCACCTACTGGCTTGTAACTTCTTGTCTCTTGTTTTGAGTAATAGTTTTTAGGGTAAAAGACTTAAACCTCCTTATTTACCGTAAATACTGAAGTTTCCCTTCACTTTTCAAGTCGGACTAAAACCTCCCCTAATGGCTGATGTCATCAGATAAAAACCTCCTCTCCATTAATAGTCTGTCAAAATCCGTATAAATTGACATTAAATTTTCTTAAAACCCGACTTTGCCCCTTTATGATTGTTTGACAATGGCTAATTACTATATCCAGAAAACAAAAACATCTGAACAGACAATAGGGAGATTTTTTTTTCAAGCAATTTATCTATTTAACCTTGACAAACACACCAGACTTGCAAGGTTACCTAACTGCTACAGGAACGCACTAAAACCCCATTCAATATATCAAAATCTTTAAACTAGAGTCAGTAATTAAGGAAACTGTCTTGCATCAGCGCCCAATATATGGTTTGATGGTTTGAATTCCACTGGCTGAACAATTCAGGCAAAAGTATTTCCCAAGAAACTCTAAAGAGCTAAAAGCAATTCTCTAATTGTGTTGTTGTGATAGCAAAAACCTAAACAAATAATTCCATACACCTCTAGTCTCCACCTTGGCAAATCAGGAAGTACTAGAAACTGAGCAATGAATTATACAAATCAGTGTAGTTAAAGCCCCTTCACCGCCTTTAAACATTAAGGATAAACCAAATCATTATTGTTGTTGTTGATTCTGTTGCTGCTGAGGATTGGTGGCGGTGGCATACCGGGGCAAGGTGCGAGTGCGACCAAAGACAGGAATGCCACCTGTTAGAGGAGGCATCCCAGGATGAGGCAGCAGTGGTGCGGGCATGCCTAATGGAGGCATCCCATTATTTTAAAAATTTGAAGATTTAACAAGGGTAAAAGAAACTTTTTAATAATTTAATTAGACATAAATTTGACAGGGGAGGACTTGGTCCAATTTAAAATAAGAGAGGAGGTTTTAGTATTTATAAGAAACATTAGGGGAGGTTTAAGTCTTTTACCCTAGTTTTTATTCTATCAAAACAAATCAAAGTGATTTTTCATCAAAATTGGGGAGTTTTGATTGGTCAAATCCTTTCCAATATCATGTCTCTCTGGCATCATAATTTTTTCATTGGATCTATTTTTACTTGGATACTGTATCAAATTCAGATCTCTCGAATTTTTATGAGATTCGTTTCAGATACCACTATCTGAATTCCATCTTATCCATTTGCAGCCCTAGAATGTGGATGGCAGTGAACTGAACTGCAGTCCCACCTATGAGAACTAAAATGAACTGCAGTCTCAAAATCTTGTTCCTGCTAATACCTCCCTTAGCTCAAAGAAAAGAGAAGCACCTGACAGTGAACACTGGACAGAGATACTCGGACCTTGAGATTTGAGATTTTCCAGGAATGCCAAAGGGCTTTTTTTTTCCCTCAATTTACTTGGAATTTTTTTCGAAGCCTAAATTCTTGGATCCACTAAGAGCTTATCCTTGTTTACAAAGCACAGAGTACTTAAAATGGAAATTTTAGGTCTTCTCTTACATTTATAGTGCAGTCAAGATGGCTGAACATAATACTAGATCTGGAATAGAACCAGAGATCACAAACAATAAACTTTAATGAAAAAATAGCATGAAAAGAGTCAAGTTAATTTTTCTTAGTTTTCATTTTTTTCGTGGGCAAAGGAAAAGAAACCCCACCAGGAAAATTACTAGGACAATAAACTCACAATATAAAGTTATTTGCACAATAGGTTTTGTGATTTGGAGTATAGTAAAGAATCCAATTTATAATTTATAAATGATATTGCAGAAAAACGGAGAACCATTCGATGGAAATGATAACATTCACACCATTATCTTGCTCATACTTGATGTTCAATTATGGAATCCAGTGACGAACCGTTGGATACCTGCAAAATCATATACTACTTTCACATTGTGGAAACTAGTTTCTAGTTTGTTTGTCAAGAAATCTGCAAGGAATTCACACTGCTTTTCACCATTTGTCTGCACAGAGAAGAAAACAACAGAGTTAAAAATTTTCCGAATCAAGATGAATATACAAAGGACTTATGCAAGAAGTTACCATAGCTATATATAGAAAAAATGAAAAACTTGCTTTTAACTGAATAAAATTCCTAAGATATCGGGCCAATTGTTAGAAAAGAATTGAGTACCTCAAAAGCAAAGAATCCACCAGGCTTCAACATCAAAGCAGCTCCTTTACAAAGGTGGAGAAGATCATCCATGCCATTCTCACCCCCATCCAGTGCAAGTCTTGGTTCATGTTTACCAACTTCAGCTTGCAACCCAAGGATCAGATGACTTGGTATGTATGGTGGGTTACTCACAAGTCCCACTAGTGCACCTTTTACATCATCCAGAGGTTCAAACCAAGATCCTTGTCTTATCTCAACTTTGTCCTGGAAACCACACTAACAAGTAAAAAGCTTGGATTTGGCAGGACAAACTGTGGAGACATTAGTGGTCTGTTTGTGTGCAATGTGCATGCATGTGTCACAATTCATTCTTATACAATGCAGTAAGGTGGTGTCAAAGGTGTTCATTTATCCTCTCTTCCAGCATAATGAAAGAACAAAAAAGAAAAAACTTTACGTTTGTGTCCATGCATACATATGATATATCTCATCACTGTTGTCCCCCTCAGGTGGAAAACCAAGAAAGACATGAGCCAAACAAGTTGAATGTGTAACCCGTGGAACAAAATCAACTTGTATCAATCCATACAGAATCTATGACCCAACATACCCTGTTCTCACATCTATTTTTATATCAACAGTAGCTAAAATATAAAGTTTAGCAGCATTTTGGGATGCATTAGGTAGAAAAGAATAGATAGTAGACTCATTAGAAATTCAAACTTCAAATATATCCAACTTTTATGAAAACAAGTAACAAACAAATTCAAATTAACAGCGCAATTTAAAGAGAAAAAGAACTAAATGAAACAAAACCTCTATAACTCTATTCCTTCACTTGTACCGGGATTTTTTTTCCTTTTTTTTCTTCTTTTTTTTCTTATTTTTTGAGAAACATTGGGAGAACACATACTTGTACTTATCATGGATCTAGTCTTGAAAGAGAAGAACCACAATTGCATCAGAAACTCCTAGACTGAAATGTTTAACTTTGATGTTACCAAAATTTTATGGTGTCTTAATTGGGAACACAGTGGAATATGAAAGTTCTTCAAAACAATTATAGCAGAATAAGATGGAATAAGAGGAAAACCATCATCAAGTACTTGTTTTTTTAGTCAAAGTTATAAAGAAGAAAGTATAGAAGCAACACTTAGGTGGCATTTTTAAGTCTAAAATATCGCCATTTATGTTTGGAACTAATAAAAAAAGTGGTTATTCCCTTTTAATTGCATTTGGTTACACCTCTGAGGCTCTGATAAGCTCAATTGTATCCAAAAATTTGTTCTGGTTAATAACTAATAAGTGATTGAATCACCCATGTTCAAAGGGAAGAAACTGCAATAGCAACCCAGATAAGCATCTCCAACATGATAGTCTAATAAAATTTCTGATAGACAGTTCAGACATAAAAACAAGTTCTTACTCTTATAAGATCTAACGAGACTTCAATCTTCCAAACACTAACTTATGTTAAATCAGGAGAGTTTTACCAATTTAAGTATAGAAGAGACAAAAAAGCACAAATACGAACCATTGGGAAAAAGGGCAAGTCATATTAAGTGAAAAAGGAGAAAGAAGAAATAGATTCTGTTTAAGAAAGTAATTCTTGATATACAGATGCGCACTATCCTATCTTACCTAAAACCTTGCAACAGAACCAGCCTGCTATAAAACTGATAGGACATAAATGGAACTTAACTAAGAACACTCCATTGAGAAAACTAAGCACCTGATAAACCCATAAGGCCCCCTAGAATGAAGCTACATTTTAAAGCTAGAGAGCTTACTTCCTCTGGGCTTATCCAGAACACCAAGAAACAATGGAAACACTAAAAAGAAAACAATGATTTTGGAATGCAGAAAGATATTTAGTTAATTAGAACTTTTCCAGAAAAGGCAGCAAGTTGGGCCACATAACTAAGAAGGATAGGGAAAAAAATGAAATGTTCAAACTCTAATGAAGTGTTCCTAACAAAATGGATCCAAGCTCTTCCGCAACTTTAATATCAAGGAGGAAATCAAGTGGACGTTAAGACTTAAGAAGTAACAACCAGATATAAGATATGCTTTCTATTACAACGCCAAGTTAAAGCAGCAAAGGAATTCAGCTTGTGCAACGTTTTCTAAAGAAATTAAGTAACAACGTCTTGTGTCTGGCAGATATTATCAGATTATCTAAACTCCAACATTCTTGGACTCACCTACTAGGCTACATGTATTTGAGAATTTTTACTTTTTAGCACAAAGTAGCAGCTCCTGTGAAGATTTAAGGCATGGAACAGACACATGACTCATAACCTTTTCCTTGACAAACTTGTCAGTTGTCACTTCAATCACTGTGAAAACAAGGTGACAATTTTCCGAATAACTAACCTGCAACTCATACCTCTCCACATTGTACGCGGCAACTGAGGCTGCCACTGGGCTTAAATCCGTCGCAATGACCTTTCCTCCACTACCCAAAATCCTCCCAATTCCTATAGCAATTGCTCCACTTCCAGTTCCCAAATCTGCCCATATTCCATCTCCCAAGCCTTTATTTTCCAAAACAACCTCACCCACCAAATCCACAATCAGTTCAGTTTCAGGCCTTGGAATCAAAACCCCTTCTTGAACGCTCAAAATCAAATCCCTCCAGTGTTCGCATCCCACTATATACTGAAACGGCCTCCTTTCTTCAATTCTCTGCTTCCATAGAACGTAAAGCTCTTCTATATCCGCCTTTAATCTTACCAATCTGCCATTTTTAGCAGAACCCAGTTCGGGTACTGTGGATTTATCCTCAACTGCATCTTCTAGTAGCCATTTGAGCTCTCTACACAAGAGAATGGTATCGGGTCCGTTGTCAATGTCGACGAACTTGGACCCAACTGAGAGGGCGATGCTTTTAGCCCACTCTTGCCATTTTTGGAGGTCTGACAGAGTAGAAGAGAACTTTGGAGGCCTAAGAAACAGAGGAATTTGAGGATTGGGAGAAGTGGGCATTGATGAAACCGAAATGGATCGACTTAAAGCAGCGAAGAAAGGTGGTTTTGGGCGTTTGAAGACCAGAGAAGATGGTGAAATCGTTGAACGGATTGCACGTGGGAAGCTCGAGTTCATCTCTCTCTCTAACACGACAAAACCCCTACATATCATATCTATACTATACTATACTATACTAGATTGAACGGTTTTGGGTTGGTGAATGGTGATCGGTGAATATACAATTTACCGGAACAATAAATGATAAAAAAACAAATTTGTTTTCTCTTAATTATAAACTAGCGGAGAGGGCCCTGCGATCAGCTCGATTTAAGTCAAAAACTTGCAAGCTGGAGTTCGGCTACTTTTGATTGCAGGTCTCTCAAACAGTTGAGGTTCCAAGCCGATGTCTCCCTTAATTGCTGATGTGTCAAACTGAGGTTTTCCTCACAGACGAGGTATCGACCTAAGGTCTCCCTTGGTTGACAAGGTGTCGAGCTAAGGTCTCCCTTAATTGTCGATGTGCTAAGTCGAGATCTCCCTTAGTGACCGAGGTGTCGAGCTGAGGTCTCTCTCAATGGTCGAGGTGTCATCTGGCTTGAGCTTGATTCGAATTAAAGACTTGAGCTTGAGCTAAGGAGTTCGAATTCGGCTTGGCTCGAACTCGCTTTTAATTACAAGTCCCCTGGCAGTTGAGATGCCGAGCTAAGGTCTCAATTAGTTGGAGAAAGAGTGGCATTCTTGTAATTTGAAAGAAAAAAGCAAGTGAGAGAGAGAGTTGATAGGAGAGAGTGGCATCTTATAATTTGAAAGAAAAAAAAAAACAAAAGAGAGAGAGTTGGTAGAGAGTGGTATCCTTGTAATTTCTATGAAAAAAAGGAAAAAAACTACTGTTAGATTCTAATTACCTCATCCTTAGGCTTTCTTACGTACACATTTCAGCTTAATATATTTACTAGCAGAGGGGGCCCTGCATTGCAAGGGCTCGTTCATAAACTATCAAGCTCAAGTTCACTTTTGAATTAGAGACTTGAGCTCGATTTCGAGCTCGACTACCTTTAATTGCAAGTCTCTCAAGTAATATAAAAATTTAAAAAATATAAATATCATATAATTACTTTATAGATATAGAGCCATCATCCAATATGCCCATATTATTTATTATAGCTTATTTTGGATTAAGGATCATTTTCGTTCCCTCTTTCCCTCCCTCTTCCCTTCCCTTCAACAAGATAAAACTTCTTAGTATATATTACTTAATTTCATTTATTATATGTTTTTTAAAAGACATAGTCCAATTTGGGTCATTAGGATAATTCAAATTCAATTACATATTCAAATATTTAACTTGATTTAAATTTGACTAATTCATTATTTTAGGTAATTAATAAAACATAGAATAAAATCCCCATAATAAATAGAAGGTCGCAGTTGAGTCCAGATTTGCTCCTCACAGCCTAGCACCTCAAAACATCCCCACAAAACGTGAGAATGCCAGGTGTTCCCAAGCCCATGTGAACTCTATACACGAGCAGAGGAGCCTAAGAGTCATTACTCGTTAGGCATCCATTTCCGTTAGCCCCTCCCCCACCCCTAAGCCTTATTTGGCACTTTCTAATTTTCTATTATATTCCCGCTTCAAAACCCCTGCCTCTCCTCTTTTCTCTCCAACAGGTAGCAACGAAAGAATGAAACCCTAGCGCCCTCCATCGGTTGCAGTGCTCTCCCCGGCAGCCAGTGATCTCACTGGCCATAATAGATTATGGCGACAGTACGAGGGCTTCCTCCATTGGGGTTTTTTATTTTTTTCACATGCAAGCTACGACACCGATGACCATTACCAAGTTTAGGATTTTTCCCATTTTATTTTTGTTTTCCTTTCAAACAATTTGAATTATTATGATTTTTACTTGGTTCATGAAGCCAAAACTTCTAGTTGGAGTGACTATAATCTCTCTTAGTATGAATGACTATTTTTGACGTTATGAACAATTAGTTTGCATATAGATTGTATTTTTTATTAGTTCATGTACTGCTAAGCTTTTGTTCATTTTCTTAGTGTTGCATAATTACTAGTTCATGAACAACTGCTATTGGGTTATCAACTTTCTCTTGGGTTTTTTCTATAGGTTTGATGACAAGTTGGAAGGGACTTAGTAGCAAAATCTTTTCTAATGTATAATTGTTATTCATGACTGGTGCATTAACCGCATACTTAATTGAGAGGCACAGTGTATGGTTAGGAGTTCTGTATCTCATGGTCGATAAGTTGTATTTCTTTCCCTTTAACTTCTTTAGATATTGAATCTCCTGGAAAAAAAAAATCATATGCAATAGAATAATCACGACCTTTAAGCTTAATCCTTTTAAGGGCATAGATTGTACAATTGGATGAGATGGCATTGTAAACCTCATTGCTTCCTCCACTCCCAATCTTTCCAAGCTCTTGGTAAATTCTTTTTACAAGTGCTAGATGCCCCCTTACCACTTACAATCTTCTTTGTTTTTTCTAATTTAGAGGACTCCTATTTCATATTTGAAGATGTGTTTTTGGTTGATGGATCATGTGATTGTATATCAAAAACCTGGTATGAAGACTTTACTATTTTATCATCCATATGGGAAGGTGCTCTTGCATGGTCAGCATTCCCATCAGCTAACCTTTCACGTTGCTTCAAATAATAGGCATGTTGTCATTTTGATAGTCCCTGATTAGTAAATCTTGTGGTCTCAAATGCAAAGGCAGTCGTTTTAGTTGAAACCACTGCTTGGTCTACTAACATATTACTACTGCACTTAAGCATAGAAGACAGTGGATACATGGAATCTCCTTGAGTACTATCTCAACAAGAACAAGAGTTGTAGGTTGTTGAATTCAGCATAGGTGCAGATGCTGAATGGACTAATGTTGTAGTTGAGCAATAAAGGAGAAATAAGCAAAATTGTTGGAGTCTCGTTTCATCGATGACCGTAGGGGGTTGTTGTCAGAATCTATTCTCATCGGTAAAATTGCCAGCCGTTGGAGAAAACATGACAACCGATGGAGGGCATTAGGGTTTCATTCTTACATTGTCGTAGAGAAAAGAAGAGAGGCAAGGGCTTTAAGCGGGAATACACATAAAACTAGAAAGTGACAAATAAGACTTGGGTGTGGAGGGGGAGAGGGGGACTAACGGAATGGAGGCCTAACCACCGTTAAGCTCCTCCACTCGTGTATAGAATTCACATTTTGCGAGGAACTTTTGAGGCGCTAGGCTGTGAGGAGCAGATCCGGGCTCGACGCGGTTGGCGCGTAGTCCCTGCATTTTAAGTGGGGGAAGGGCGGTAAAACGTTGAACTTTGTACAACGGGGGAAACAACCGTTCTGTTTTTTCTTCTTCTCAGGTCACGGCACGTAAGCGCGTAAGCGAGATGTTTTTGTCTCTCCGGTTTACGTCCCATCATTTTCTTTGTGATAATTCCATAATTCTCAGTCGGACCTTGTTTTCCTTGCGAAGAAATTGCTCCTTTACATCGCCATTGAAGGTAAACCCTAAAGCTGTTTCTTTCTTTAACAAATCAATCGATGGAGTCCAACAAGCTGGGCCGAATTCTAATAATCTATCAGTGAACTCTGTTGATAACACGTTCCCTTTTCCAGGTATCTTAAGTTTTCCAGTTTCTTCGTTCCATTTTTCTTAGTACATTAGAGCTCTTCGTGACTGCGAATACTTGGTTCATGTTCGTTTGGTTCGTCCTTTATTATCTGTGCATTGTTCAATCAATTATAAGCTAGGCAGTTCTTAGAGCTACGAACTTGTATCAAGCATTAATTTTGATTTTGTTAAAATTTTATTTTTCATCTGTATTGTGATTAAACCTAGTAATCTTTTATAAGATGGTTCAGGATTGGAGGATGCTTTGATTGGTTACATATCGGGCAAGAAGAAGGCCACTGAAGTTGCTCACTCGTAGGTATTTTGTACCAGACTCCTGAGTTCTCTATATTTACTGTTCATGTGGAAATGCTGTTAAGAAGTGCATTTTGTTAACACTGCAATTCCTGTATACTTATTTCTTGTTTACTTTATGGATTCTCACTCTATGTACTTCAATTGTTAATTTCTGCTATCTTCTAAATGTTCATGTGGAAGTCAGTTGAAATTTGAAAACGGATTTCACTGTAGATCTTTTATAATTTTTGTTAGAAATAATGAAAATGGCATATTGTCCTTGTGGCCAACCCACCTGGGGTCTAGCAATATGATACTTTTAGATAATCCTTATGCTCTAACGTTAAAGATATTACCAATTTGCTCAAGTACCTTAAAAATGAAAAAAAAATCCCACAATTTGTTTATTGGTGGAGCAAACAACTAATACCTGTTTCAAATTGTAAGTATCGGGATGTGTGTATACAATTGCTCACGTTGTTGAGATTTACCTTCTTGTCACTTCTAGTGTTTTTTTTTTCCTTAGAATTTATTTCAGAAACTTTGGTATGTTTCTCTCACTTTGTATTTCCATGATTCACTAGGATATGGAAACATTTTGTTCAAAAAGGGGACACAGTAGTGGATGCTACCTGTGGCAATGGTTATGATACCTTGGCAATGCTTAAGTTAGTTGCTGATGATTCAGGAAATGGCTGTGTTTATGGAATGGACATTCAGACTGTTGCTCTAGAGAATACTTCCTTGCTTTTGGATAGATTAGTCCATCCAAATGAGGTAAAAGCATTCACCAAGTCCCTTTTGTTCATTTGTATGGGATCTGAAACATGAGATTATTATTTCAACTTAACATGATAAGGCAGTATGAGCATTATTAATTCCTTTCTAGAATCTACTGTTCCATACTCATAGCTTCTTATTCTTTGACTGCCTGAACATGTATGCAAAATATACTCATAGTTTCTTTTGCATACATGTTTTCCAGTTTTTTTTTTTTTTCAATCCATTTTTCTTAGTACATTAGGGCTCTGCAAGACTGCAATTACTTGGTTTATGTTTGTTTCGTTTGTCCATTATTATTTGTGCATTTTTCAATGAATTATAAGCTAGGTAGTTCTTAGGGCTATGAACTTGTGTCAAGCATTAGTTTTGATTTTGACAATGAACTCAGTTGCTGTATTTTAAGTGAGGGAAAGGCGGTAAAGCCTTGAACTTCATTCACTTTGTATTATTTGAATTTTGAGCATTATTTTGCATAAATGTTCAGGCAGCCAAAGAATAAGAAGCTATGGGTATGGAACAGTAGATTCTAGAAAGCAATTAATAATGCTCATTCTGACTCATCATGTGAAGTTGAAATAGTACCCATGTTTCAGATCCCATAGAAATGGTTTCCATATCAAACCTGAATTGTTTTGACCAGAATGTGGGAAATGCAGAAGTGCTTCTGTCTGGATATTGGCATGTGCAACCCCTCCTAACCTATCGGTCCTTATGCATACAACATTATTAAAATTGTGCAATGCAGTGTATAGAATCCCAAATGAACTTGAATCATGTTTTTTCCATTATGAATCATGTAACTCATGCAATTCAATGTGATTCTTTTGTAACTTAATATGACTTCTAGAACTCAATTTTGGCACAGTTGTTTTTACTGTTTTTTTTCTTTATTCTGAAAATAACCAACCACATACAACCATAATTAGAATGCTGCTTTATCAATTTGGCAATATTTCTATCTCTAAGATGCTCAGATCTTAAAAAGGGGCAACTAGGGACTAGTGAGTAGTGAATAAACATGAGACTTTCATCTTCATTGTTAAGATGTGAAAGAACTTCTGAAACTAACAACCTTTGACCCTAGAAATACCCATTCCATATTTATTGTTCGCACTGGTGTTATATTTTGTTGCTTTTTCACAAATGGGCTTAGTATGTTCTGGTGTCTTGATATCATAATTGTATTTTATTCTTTTCATGGTAAAACATCATTATAAGTTCATATGAAATTTATCATTTTCAATTTTATCTGGTCATCATTGTTCTTTTTGATCTTGTCCTTTTGGCTGCAATAATAATTAGAGTTGGCTAATTGATTTTCAACCAATTCCTCATTCTTCCTTGGCATTATTTGCAGAGAATGCTTATTAAGCTATTTCCTGTCTGTCACAGTAGAATGGAGGATGTTATTCCGAAAGATACCTTTGTCAGGTACACTTTTACCTTAACTGTTTTCCTGGATAGTAAAAGTAAATGTTATTAAATGAAAAAAGAAGAATACAGGACAAGTAATAAGAAATCACCAAAGAAAGAACAAGAACAAAACTCTGAACTGTGCCTATACTAAAAAGCAAAGCCAACTCACTGCCACCAAATCGGCTTTGTGGCCCAACCAAATTTGGACCTCACCACAAATTGGCCACACTGTTACAATGTCTATTGACCCACACCCATGTGCCCATARCAAAATCAAAACCAATTGCAGCGGTTCCTCTACCTCATTTACCCCTGCCTCTCATGCTCTTTGATTTAACTCTGAAAGTGATAGAGGACAAGATCAAATACTTAGCAAGAACTGTGATGCCTTATTCACCTCAGCCGTCTCAACAATCAAGCTACCCCTATCTCTATTCAACTCCCTCATCTCCTCCACTTCTACTGGATCCCTATGGGAATCAAGAACAGACCCCCTTCTCTCCTCCTCATCAGCTGGTTGAAAATATCTGCTGTTTTCTCTTCCCCATCCACAATCACAGTCACTATCACCTTAATCCCACAAGTTTCCCTCTTGATATTACATCTAATGGTACATATGAACTAGTTCTGTGTGTTGTAATGGACGATTAGTTGTGTGAGCTTTTTATTTTATGTTATTGGTTATGTTAGTATTGTTGGGCCTTAAGTTATTGGGCCTGATTTGGTTCTTTTTGTTATTAGTCAAATGGTATCACTAGTCAGGGGTATAAGTGTACTTTCATGTAACATTATCATCTTAATATAAATATCACTATTGAGGCCGGGTTGAAATCATCAACCACCCATTATCTCTCTCTTATCTCCTTTTTTCTCTCTTCTCTCTGCTCTAAACTCCATTGCAGCTCTGCAAACATGGTATTAAAGCATTGAAGACTGGTTTCTGATTGATTTGACAAGCTGTTTATTTTTTTTTCATCTCCTCTTTCTTTCTTCCACTTCTTTTTTTTTATTGGTCAAGAACAGCTAGGTCTGATTGCAACTCACAAGGGACCTGTATCTTGGGTTTTCCTTTGGGTTTAAGGAAGGTAAGTTTCAGACCCTGTGTATGCAGTTATGCTCTACTAGACTTTATTCAAAGTCAGTAGCCATTCAGCTAATAGGGAGTCTAGGACAGGTCTAGAAGGAGAACTGATTAGATGGTCCTAGTTTAACCTTGGATTGAGGGTTTAAGGTGCTGCAGATTGCAGAAGAGTTTTTTAGGTGTCAGAGGAACTTGCTTACTTGGAGAAGTAAGAAGCAAAGTGTTGTTGTAAGATCAAGTGCAGAAGCTGAGTGTAGGGTAATGGCCCATGGTGTTGCAAAATTGTTGTGGCTCAAGACTCTACTTAGTACTCACCAAATTGGCGATAAGGATTGCTAGTCCTTTCAAGCTGTGTACCATGACCACAAGATTGCAATAAATATTGCTAATAATCCAATACAGCATGACAAAACCAAACATATTGAGGTTGACAAGCATTTTGTGAGAGAGAATTGTCTTAGGTAAACTTTTTTTTTGAAGAGTAATGAATACAAATTTTATTAAAATTAAAAGCAGGTATAATCTGTTCAGGTGTCAAGATGACCCCACTACAAACATACACCAAAAGCATCAGTCCAGACTGAAAATGATTCACATTACAAACTGATATAGGATGACTCCTAGAACACTCCCCTACTTTCCTAAAGACCCTTGGGTCGCACAAGATGACCAAACCTCCTGTCAACCCCACCTCATTCAACTCCACCCACCCCCCACCATCCCTCCCCCAGATCTCATTCATTCGAAACACATCAAAAGATTCCACCTTCGTTCTTGCAAGAGAACTACATCAGGCTTCTGCTTTCTTATGAGATTGCTCACCAGAAACCTTTGATTTCTCTCCCTTAAAACCCATAACGTCCAACTTAAGAGCTTCGTCCTCTCCCCTTCTCTTGTCTTGGCTACACATCAATAGTGCCCCTCACTCTACAGTTGCAGCTTGGTCCTCCTCCCCCCCTCTTTGTTCCAACTTGCTTTCTTCTCTCTTTTTGGCTCTCCCTTCTTGTTTTGTTTTTGATTTTTTTTCTTCAAATTGTTCGAAAGCAATTTTGGCAAAATCCTCTCCTCCCCAAAAGAATAGCCTGAGAGATTTTCCCAATGTAACTTCTCTATCGACTATCCTATTCAGGTCCAACTTCCTTTTTACAATTATCTCATTGCTTCCTTTCTCAGTCGCCCCTTCTGCTTTCTTTTCACTACTCACCTTTCTTGTCCCTCCTATTGAGTTCCCCACCCCTGCTGATAGTTCCTGCTCCTCCTCTATCTCCTGGCCTAACCCCGAAAACCTCCTTCTATTATACACCTTGTTCTACGTTCTGGTTTCCTTTGTCTCCCCCTATTGCTTCCTTCTTCTCCTCACTTCCTCTTCTTTCACCAGCCCCAGTCTTCTTCCTTTCGATTGCACCTTCTTCTTCACTCGACTCGATAAGAGTAGAGGAAGGGGAGGCAATGGAGCTTACCTCTCTCGGTTTGTCTGCTGTTGTGAAGACTTTAGACTAGGTTGTTATCTCTATTTGTTTTGCTGATACTTCTCCTCTGTTCGTCGTTGCAGCCTCGACTCTAGAGAGAACATAAACTCTGTCTTGGCTTCCGTCTGGATGTAATGAGTGCAACACTTGCTCCGATTAGCTCGCATTCAGCTTTTTTGGGTCGTTGTGGCTCTCCTCGAGTTGAAACCTCCTCCCTTGGAATCTCTGGTTCTGTGAGTTGCGTAGAGGCCCTGAGCTCTTTTTTCTTCCTCCTCCCTTCTCTTACCTCTCTTGTCACTTTTCCATCCTTCCCATACTTTGTTATTACCCAAACCCACTCATCCCTCCCTAATTTTCTTAGTAGACAAGTTTGGACAACCTGTTTTGATATAAAAACTATAAAAGAAAGAAGAAAAGAAAGAAAAGAAAAGGTTTCAACTGAGAAAGAGAGAGAAGAGAGATAGAAGAAAATGGGAGAAGCTCAGAATTTGGTTTGGTTGCCCATTTCATTAGATTATATACTCATAAATAAAAGAGAGTACAAAGACAAGTATGCCCTTAGTAAGTCGGCTACTTGTAAGAACTTAAAAACACTCTTAACTTAAAACATAAACGTGGGCCTAAGGCCCAATAACTCTTTAACTATGCTATGTAAATATAAAACATGTTATATCAGCCCAAAACTCAACACTCCCCCTCAAGTTGGGAATAAATATCACACATTCCCAACTTGTGTAGATCATGCTCCAGCTTGTTTCTTGCAATTCCTTTTGTAAGAACATTAGTAAGCTTCAAGTCAGATGCAACATATGGCAAGCAAACTTCTCCGGATGTTGCCATTTCCCTTATAAAGTGTCTATCTACTTATATATGCTTCGTCCTATCATGCTGAACTGGGTTGTGGGCAATGTTAATTGCTGCTTGATTGTCACAATATAGCATCATAGTTTCTTCAGCCTCAACTCCAATCTCCTCTAACAAGGAACGGATCCAGAGGAGCTTTGAAACATCATGTGCCATGGCTTTGTATTCAACTTTTGCACTTGACCTTGCCACAACTGTCTGTTTCTTACTCTTCCATGAAACTAAATTACTTCCAACAAGAGTACAAACTTTTGATGTAGATCTCCTGTCATCTAACTGAAAGAATGGTGGGATTCATCGTATGGACGCCAAAGATTGCGGAATAGGGTAGGGTGAATTTCAAAAATTTTCCACTTTCTGCCAACTAGGAATCATATTCCCTGATTTTAGAATCAAAATTCAAGGGTCCTACTTGAACCATAACCGAACCAGATCTGAACCAAAAGACAAGGGAGGGATTATACCTGATCCAGAGAAATGATATCTCCCAAAGTTGGTGTTTACGCCCAGAGAAGACACCAAGATCCGCTCCTGCTGAAGATGACACAACAACTGTGGAACGGAACCAGCAGAGTGTGTCCTACACACCGAATTCTTCAGAAGAATCCTCTGGAAACAATGAGCACTGAACTCGATCAGTTTTTCAGCAAAAACTGATATCAAGAATTGATTTCTTGATTCCCTTCTCAGTGAAGATCGAACTATGCAGCAGGTGGTGGCGGCTGGAGGAGTTCCCTAATGCTGAATTGGTGTAGAAGCAGTTTTCAACTTAGAGAGAATGAGATCCCATCTCTGTTTTTCAGAATAATAATCCTAAAAACCCTAGGTTCGAATTCTAATAATTCTTGATTGGGTTTCCTCCTTTCTTGTTAATTAAGAATCCCTTAACCCTATTAGGAGTTATCCCAATCCAAATTTGTATTTGGATGGGGATAATCTTAATCCTATCTGTAGATTAGGTTAGCCCACTCCTGATCTTATCAAGAGGTTAAATCATATTTGAATCTGGTCTCTAAGAGTGGATAGGGTTAAAACCCCATCCTATCAGCTAACCCTACTCTTAGATCCTCCCCATAGGTGGGTGATCATATCAGCCCAGTTCGAAATGGGCTTTTGGCCCATTAAGTAATCAGTGCTCAATTAGTTTTCAATTTGCTGCCCAGTTGGGCTTCTTTGTATGGCGTGGGACCCAAGCATTGATCTACACACCAGCCACATGGGTTCGCCCAACCTTTATTACAAGGCCTAGCCGAATTCACTGGAAAGCCCAATGAACCCTTGAGCCCATCATATGGACCCTATGGGCCCAACACATGCACTAAGTGGTCCCTGGGCCAAGCCATCTTATAAAAACCCAGGGACTGTGGGCAGGTGCAAGATTAGCCCATCAGGTATTATCCCAAATGGCCTTACACTTAACCTCTCAACCCTTAATGATCAAGCACTACCCGACAAGAGAGGACCTCTCCTTCGGCTGCAAGGAACAGTGCTGCACTCTCTACTTACATGGATCCCGAGAATTAAAATCATTTGCAAACATTTTGAAACCATACTTAAATATATATCATATATATAAATTTTGTAAAACAAAATTCCAACGA